ATCACCAACCGGAAGACTACTAAGGGCCAACGAAAAGTGAGAAGGGTTGTATTTTGTCCAGATCTGACCAGTCATGGTAGCCGGGCGATGTTAGGTTAGACCTTACATAAAGTTGCATCTTTTTATGAGGAGTTCTTGCTGGGAATTTTAGCTGGAGGAATTAACCCTCCCCGTTGCAGTTCACATGCAACGTGTGATAAAAGCGAATTTCGCCGCGGCATGGGAGGAGTACGGCGAAGATGGCGAGGCAGAAGAGACCTACTTCCTCACCAAATTTTCCACTCTTGATGGTAATCTCCGTTTGACAATGTTTTTTTATGTGCCTCTTCTCATTTTGCTCATTCCATTACTTTATTTATATTAACATTCAAAGCGGACGAAACCACTTACTCACTTTTTGTACTCAAAATGTCTAATGGCTAAGTTTACACCATGGATGAATTCAAGGCATTTTAGTTCAATTGAGAGCTTTTCAGCCTTGCATTTGAGCGTTTCATCTGAATTCGACCACCATTTTTCAGGTGTTTCAGGTTTTGGTCTGTCTAAAGTTATTATTGGTCTTTTCCCACCGTTTTTATTCTTGCTTCTGCATTCTGGTGGTCCTCCCTTTTTAATGCAGCTCCTGATAATCCAGCTACCATTAGTAGTTTTGGAACGTCCAACCTTGGCGCATCTTTTTACTAATGATATTCTTGGAGCAATATCGGGCATGTCTTTTACCAGGATCGCTTAGTTCTTTCTTGTTTTTGCAAACATGTTATTTGTGTCACTCATCTTCCCAAGTACAATAAACAGATGAGCGACGTTGAAGTATCAACATATCCATTTCGCTTGTCTCTCTTCTTTGTAGCGAATACTAATGTGCTATTCTCTATCCTCGAGGTTTATAGTGGTACTGAATGACCAATATGCATTAAGGATCTTGAGTCTTATGATCATTTGTCTCTGACCGGTAGGGCATTGCTAATGGTAGAAGCAAATCTCAAGATCTACCGAACCCGGCTTTCGGCATGTTTTCTCCACGTACGGCGTTTTTGTGGTTGGAAGGCACAGTTCATCTGTTTGTTGCTGCTATGTTGCAGAGATGGTGCGAGAGTTGGTGGCTCATTTGGGCATGCAGGCGTGTGAGCGCACGGATCAGGTGCTGTCAATCGATAAGGTGGCACACACCCTTCTGCTGGCCGGTGTCTTTCGTGGCGGTGTTAGCGTACTTGCACGTTGCAAACTGGCCAAGTCTCAGCCGTCCGCCGGGCAGCCGGCAGTTGGCATTAATCTTCAAATCACTGTCCGCTCTGCTGCTCCCGAAATCAACCAGGCTATTGCTGACTCGCTTAGCTAGACTTCTATTCTCACTTCCATCACTCTTTACTTCTACGGCTTCGAGTTGGCTGCTTTTTTGCGCCTGAAGAGAGAGACTTCTCTATAAATGAAAACTTCTTTCAGCCCTTTTAAGTTTGGCCTTCATTGGTAAGGTGCAAAAATTTTTCCCC